TAATAAAAGTTATATTAACGAAAGTAATAAACTAGATATTTTAAACGTACTAACCAATAATGTTAATAAAAGTAATATTAACGAAAGTAATAAACTAGATATTTTAAACGTACTAACCAATAATGTTAATGAAAGTAATATTAACGAAAGAATAAGAGTTTACACATAAACATTAGTCGTATACGTTAAACAACGTAACATCAGTATAACCGTGTATAAGTAAAACTTTACACATTTCTCATTAATAACATCTTGTGACCAATGAAAACCCATTAAATAACTCTGACAGCGTAATTTTAAAGAAAAATCTCAGATAAATTGCTACGACACATGTTACTGTTAAAGTGTAGAGTCCAATGGCAGGAACGTAACAATAGTACAGCCAGGAACTATTGTTTATGAAGATAATACTAATAAGAAATTAAATGAGTACATAAACCGAACAATGAATACCTATAATATTGGTACTATAATTAAAACTGGCTGGAGTACCCGTCGCCTGGATGGAAGTTATGTAAATTCATGATTAATGAAAGGTTATCTTAGAACATGAAAAGCTGCTTCCCTTATACGTAATTGTAAAAAACGCCAAATTTGAAACCGCAAATTTGCATGTATCTCCGCATGGACTCAACAAACCTTCATGCCAGATTTGGTGAAGATCCATCAACAGGGGGCAAAGTAGTGGTACAAAACGCAAAATGCCCATAAAAACCGCAAAACGCAAAATACAAAACTGAAAATTTCTATGTGTCTAATGAACCTTTCTAATGAACCTTCATACCAATGATTTCTAATCGTTATAAGTAAGAACGGTATATTATAGTATATGTATTCATCACTAGGATCACTTCTATTTGTAACATATATAAGTAGCATGCTTTGATCTAAGGTTAATAATAATTTAAAAGTGTCATATTTATTTCCCTGATTTTCTGCTATTTGGGAAGTGAGGTAAAAGATGTAAACAGCAGTTAGCAATAACACGAGTAGCAAAATCAGAGTGTATAATGCTGCTGTAACACCAATGGTGCTGTGTGAGGCAGAAAGTTGGCCACTCATGTAACAGCAGGAACAGAGATTGGGTGGAATTTTTGGTAGGCAACTAAAAATACTTTTAGGAATAACCAGGTAGCAGAAGATGATAAAATGAGGAGGTACGATGAATGGCCAGACAGAGGAGATTGAGTGTTTCATCTAGGAAGGATATCTATAGAGGATTACATGAAAATTGACCAAAAAAGGAGTCCAGAACAAGAAGGTGGAAGTATGAATGGAGGAAGATGGTCAGGAGGAGAGGAATGCAAACAGTGGATCATACACACGAAAGGCCAGTCAGAGCGGAATGCGTAGCGACCAAACCAACGAACCCGTATCACTGACTGAAATCATAATTGTAAATTGAATATCCAGTTTCTAATTTCGCCTTTTGTGCTTCGTTTTATAACTTACATCGATAATTGAGGTTGCGTCAGTTATTTGTTAAGGAGTTGAAGATAGCTTAGGGCCCATCTTCGTGCGAGGTACAAAGTTTAAAAGTCACAAACTCTACAAATGAAGACATAATGGTGAATCGATCCAGTTACCATTTTACACTTTTATCTTATGACAATCATTGAGTTTTGTTTGTTTGTTGGATTCCGCGCAAAGCAACATGGTGGGTATCTGCATATAGTCATCCCTAATTTTTAAATGATAGAATAGAAGAAAGGCAGCTAGTCAACACCTACCACCGTCAACTATTGGGCCCCTCTTATAAAATTGAATAGTTGGATTTGACCGTTACTCTTATAACGCACCCGCAGCCCTAAATTGCAGATAGCGATTAATTTTGCGGTATCAGGATACGAAGCACGGAATCTCTGCTCCACAGTCCTGCACGTCGACCACAGTAATTCAGTAATAAACATTGTGAAATAACAAATAAACACACCCATGATTATTTTAAAGGTACTGGCATAACACTAGTATACCTATTAATTGAAAAGAAATATAACATCGAACGATGTGTAATGTATTGACATAACATTATTATATCATAAATTGAGACATAACATTGAGTGTTGTGCAATATATTAACATAACACTAGTATATACTAATGATAGAAATATAACAGTGAATGTTGTGTACTGTATTAACATAACACTAGTATATACTAATGATATAAATATAACATTGAATGCTGTGTACTGTATTGACATAACACTAGTATATACTAATGATAGAAATATAACAGTGAATGTTGTGTACTGTATTAACATAACACTAGTATATACTAATGATAGAAATATAACAGTGAATGTTGTGTACTGTATTGACATAACACTAATATATACTCATGATATAAATATAACAGTGAATTTTGTGTACTGTATTGACATAACACTAGTATATACTAATGATATAAATACAACAGTGAATGTTGTGTACTGTACTGACATAACACTAGTATATACTAGTGATAGAAATATAACAGTGAATGTTGTGTACTGTACTGACATAACACTAGTATATACTAGTGATAGAAATATAACAGTGAATGTTGTGTACTGTATTGACATAACACTAAAATGTCCTAATAACATAAATATAACTGTGCTGTATAAAACTGAACAAAAATTGTAATATCTATATCAAATTATATGATTAGAACATCCAAGAAACTGGGATGAAACAAGCTTTGTAAACTTACGTTCAGAAAAGACTTGTACAAAAGTAAAGACATTCCCCCTGTAAACCTGTTTTGTCTGCGATCCTTATTTGTTCACACAAGAAAACAACAAGCTAGCACGAAACCATAAAATATAAATTTATTGTTTGGTTCTAAAATAATAAATGAATATAATAACCTAACTAAAAGCAACAGAAAATATAAGATCAGTTACAGAATCGGTCATTCGTTTATCTCCGATGATAAACTACTGTTAAAGTTACGCTGTTGGAACTGTTTAGTGAGCTTCAGTTTGTCATGATACGTTGTTAGGAATAATTATTGAAAATTTCGTATGTTGGTGTCACGGCTTTCAAGAGGAAACAGTTTGTTCTAATTACCCACCTTGAGTGCCCATAACAAAGTCGAATCACCTACCTACCCTTAAATACTTTTAGTGACGTCGAATCATCAACCTACCCTTAAGTACTTTAAGTACTTTTAGTGACGTCGAATTACCTACCTACCTTTAAGTACATTAAGTACCTTTAGTGACGTCGAATCACCTACCTACCCTTAAGTACTTTAAGTACTTTTAGTGACGTCGAATCATCAACCTACCCTTAAGTACTTTTAGTGACGTCGAATCACCTATCTACCCTTAAGTATTTTTAGTGACGTCAAATGATCAACCTACCCTTAAGTACATTAAGTACTTTTAGTGACGTCGAATCATCTACCTACCCTTAAGTACTTTAAGTACTTTTAGTGACGTCGAATCATCAACCTACCCTTAAGTACATTAAGTACTTTTAGTGACTTCGAATCACCTACCTACCCTTAACTACTTTTCGTGACTTCGAATCACCTACCTAATATTAAGTACTTTTAGTGACGTCGAATCACTTACCTACCTTTAAGTACGTCAAGTACTTTAATTAACATCTAATCACTTACCTAATATTAAGTACTTTTAGTGACATCGAATCACTTACCTACCCTTAAGTACCTTAAGTACTTTTAGTGACGTCGAATTACCTACCTACCTTTAAGTACGTCAAGTACTTTTAGTGACGTCGAATCACCTGCCTACCTTTAAGTACTTTTAGTGACGTCGAATTACCTACCTACCTACCTTTAAGTACATTAAGTACCTTTAGTGACGTCGAATCACCTACCTACC